TTCCGATCTGTAGTAGTAGTAGTAGTAGTGGTAGTGGTAGTAGTAGTAGTAGTAGTAGTAGTAGTAGTAGTGGTAGTAGTAGTAGTGGTGGTAGTAGTAGTAGTAGTAGCAGCAGTGAAGGTCATGTGGAGGATGAAGCGGGCAAAAACAGTAGCACTTCCCAGAAATAATAGTGAGAGGAAGCAACCACATAGAAGAAATGCCCCTATCACCACAATCATCATGGCAATGGTACTGGGCTAGGCCTGCCAACTTCCGGCGGTCTGGTTGAGCCAGATGTGCTCAGCACAGGCGATGGTGCCCAGCAGGGGCAGTCCTCTCAATCTTAAATAATGCCTCTGCGGGACCCCGACACTAAGCTGAAGGTGCCTTTGGGCTGAACGGTCTCCTGAGTCTTAGGATTAAAATTAAGGTTCTCAGAGTTCCTACGATTTCGGGCGTACACAGATCAGATGTGTGACACGACTCACGTAGAAACAACCTTAGTTATACCCTTGCCTAATCTGGATGAGAACCTGAAACACAGATAGGTGGCATGGACGAGCAGTCATGGATCACGGAAGATTTTCTTCCTAAAGCCAGGGAAAACAACCTGGTGCCTGGTGCATTATTCATCAACTTACATTATTTGAGATGCTGGTTGCTTTTGCTGGGGTTGGATGCTTTTTCATCGGTAGTTTCACTTGTGTGCAGACATTGAGTTGCAACTACCAGGGACGTGATACCTGGACTCTGGACTGGAGCCGATGTGGTGCAAGGGCTCTCCTCGGAAGAAGCTTCGTGCCATGCGTGTGAAGCTCACTGTGCCGTCTGTACTCCGCAGCCGGTGCTGCTTGAATTCAGGGCCACGTTTCGAGCCGGACTGGCTGCCGCAAAGAAGACCCGTCGGCCCAGGTCAGTCAGATTCGAAGGGTTCGTAAAGTCAGCAGATACCCTTCTAAGTATTTCTGACATGCAGCGATGCTCTTCTGCCCCTCCACAACCAATTACCCACCTCGCTGAACCGCTTGTTTTCACCTTCAGCAGTTTCTTGGAGGGATTGCGTCATGCCATTGAAGGGCAGCAGTTGAATCGCAATTAATGATTAATGCCGGCAGCACCCCACCAAGCACCTTGTGCGGAGCGCCTGGCCCAGGACGAGTAAAGGGTAGAGCGTTACTGTAAAGAAAGGTCGATGTTCTTCCCGAGCCGTGCAACCCGGGACTCTCGAGCCCAAACAACAGGGCAACTTGAAGCCCACTGAAACCGGCTCTGAAGCTTGCAACGAGCCCAAACCCTATTACGCGAGCCATGTGGACAGCAAGTGAGTTTTTTTGCTCGCTACGTTTTGCTCGCTACCGAAGAAGCCCACAGACACTTGAGTTCGAAACAACTAAATCCGAAACCACAGCCGCGTGAGATCCAAGTCCGTGCATGTCAACATGAAAACCCGTGACGGCGGTCACAGCGAGAATGACCCTAAACGGGTGCGGGTAGTTCGTTAGTACTGGGATTTCATGGGTTTCGTGACGGATTGCATCGATATACGGACGCAAGGAAGTGGATAATTAGTTGGTTGCTCCTGGGCGTTACGTACTTCCGCGATGATCACGTACCAAGATCTAAGATTGTCTTTCCTGAAGTTGATCAGGATGCCCAAGGTGGAGCCAACGACTGACTGCACTCATGCCCGACACATTCGGTTCAAGTGTTGCAAGAGTGAGGATGGCCTGCCTTGCAGGATGTCTGATGAAAGCAGCCCCGATGTCATAGTCATAATCATACACCTCAGGCCACAACAGGAGCAACTTAAACAAACTCTTGCACCAACAGTGCTACAGCCAGGATTTCAATCCCGGCACATGCCCCGTTGCCCTCGTCCTCAACAAGACTCCATGCACCACAAGTCTTGACATATTTGCAGAATTTGGACATCTCGAGACCCCGGGCAGTCGAGCTCAGGCTTCAAAAATGTTCAAGCTTCAAGGCGATGCAGATTTAGGTCTTGGGTTACGGTTGGGGCTCCTTGGCATGCTTCCAGAGGCTTACCGTCATGGGTTCTCAGCAAGTCCAACAAGCTTGCCGCCTCAAAGTTCAATGCTGCTGGATGCTCATGGATTATGGGTGCTCAAAATTTAGCAGTTGCGACTTGGCGTCTGTGATTGAAGACGGCTTCAGTCGCTTCCGCCGCAGCCTTTTCGCAGCCGCAGAGACTTTGCCGACAGAAGGCGCATGACCGTGTGGCAGAGGCATTTCTCAAATCTGGAAAGCAACAAAGCGAGAACATTGCGGCTTCGTCCCTGCCGCTGTTGCGCCTCATCAAACTACCACGAAACCACCAAGCTTGATGAACTCGAGTCATCATCATTAAACTGTGAAACTACTCAATCCTTGTAGAAACCGCTTCGCGTCCGGAAAGACTAGCAGGCATAGACGTTTACGTGGACATATTAGAGTTACATGTTTCCACGGAAACCCCACGGAAACCATCACAACTAAAGTCCAGAAGCTTCAACGGGTGGTGGTGGTGGTGGTGGTGGTGGTGGTGGTGGTGGTGGTGGTGGTGCTGGTGTTGCTGGTGGTGCTGGTGCTGCTGGTGCTGCTGGTGCTGCTGGTGCTGCTGGTGCTGCTGGTGCTGCTGGTGCTGCTGGTACTGCTGGTGCTGCTGGTGCGGCTGGTGCGGCTGGTGCTGCTGGTGCTGCTGGTGCTGCTGGTGCTGCTGGTGCTGCTGGTGCTGGTGGTGCTGGTGGTGCTGGTGGTGCTGGTGGTGCTGTTGGTGCTGGTGGTGCTGTTGGTGCTGTTGGTGCTGTTGGTGCTGTTGGTGCTGTTGGTGCTGTTGGTGCTGTTGGTGCTGTTGGTGCTGTTGGTGCTGGTGGTGCTGGTGGTGCTGGTGTTGCTGGTGTTGCTGCTGGCGCTGGCGCTGGCGCTGGTGCTGCCGGTGGTGGTGGTGGTGGTGGCGGCAGCGGTGGTGGTGGTGGTGGCAGTGGTGGTGGTGGCGGCGGTGGTGGTGGTGGTCCACCAGAACTAGAATCACGAACCCCCAAACTAGTATAGGTAATTATTAAGGCTCCCTCAAACCCTCAAACCCTAAACCCTAAACCCTAAACCCCTTTCCCCTAAGCCCTAAACCCTCAACATTAAACCCTTAAACCCCAATCCTAAACCCTAAATCCTAAACCCCTAAACCTTAAACATTAAACCCCTAAACCCTAAACCCCTAAACCCCTAAACCCCTAAACCCTCCACCCTAAACCCCTAAACCCTAAACCCTCTGAGAATATCCGGTCAGAGGCTCAGTTTGCTCGGAAAGGTGCTCGGAGGTCTCGCCGAGGAATCCGCCAAGAGCGGGGTGCTCAAGACGAGGCTGCGGGTGAGGACCCCGAGCCTTGGGAACTACTATAAGGTTCAGGGTTTAGGGTTTTGGGTTTAGGTTCCCTAAACCCTAAGCCCGAATATAGGGGCCGAAATCATTTACCAACACTATTTCGGGGGGCTTCCTTATTACAAGTACAGTAGAATGGGCTTCAAAGCCCTATTTCTAATCATTCCGTCACATATGTTACCCGGCTCTGGCCTTTCGGGTTTCCGGTTGGGTTTAAGCCCTAAGCCCTAAACCCTAAAACCTAAACCCGGGTTTAGGGTTTAGGGTAGAGGCGCTATGGCTTAGGGATTAGGGTTTTGGGTTTGGGGTTGGGGAGAATTTAGGCTTAGGGTGTTGGGTATAGGGTTTAGGGTTTAGGGTATAGGGTTTGGGGCTGGGGAGGGTTTAGGGGTTAAGGTGTTGGGCACAGGGCTTACGGTTGGGGAGGCTTTAGCGCCTGAGGTTTAGGGTTAAAGAGCATGTAGGTTATTCCAAGAAATCCTTAAAACACCCCAAAAAATCCGTAAGGCCGTAAGGAATTCAAATCCTTAAACCCTACAGCCTAAACCCCCAACCCTAACACCCCTTCAAAGGAACCCCAAAGAGCATCCTTATCAAGAAACCCACAGGCTGCGTCCAAGCTACACAGGGCCTCCGCCCTTCGGCGTCTTCCGTGAGAAGGTCTCCTCGGATTCCGGGTAGCCCCGAGGAGTAAGAAGAGCTCCGGAAACCCTGAACTCTATATCCTAAACCCTAAACCCTAAACCCCTAACCCTAAACCCTAAACCCTAAACCCTAAACCCTAAACCCTAACCCTCCCAAACCCACAAGAAGAATAGAACATGTGCGAAACTGTGAGACCTAGTCTCCAGGATCGCATTCAAGGTGTCTCCGAAGGACCATTCTCGGAATCCCTGCTTCAGGGATCTAGAGTTTAGGGTTTAGGGTTTAGGGTTTAGGGTCATCTATGGGGTGTAGAGCTTAGGATGTACATCTATGCCTGGAGGTTCATAGGTAGTTATAAGTGGGTTAAAGGTTCATAGGTTCTTTATGGGTGGGGATATACGTCCCCGAATGTAAGGCATAACGAGAGTTATCCTACTGATAACCCTACTTATGCCTTCACATGAACCTCCAAACAGGGCTTAGGACCTATGGCTTAAGTTTTCGTGTGTTTTGGGGTTTAAGGTCCTGCATCAGCCGCGGCATAGAGTGATCGTTCACGGACACACCACCGCCGGCCACCACCACCTTCGATACTCCGCAGCTGAAGATGTACCTGGAGGTTTCCGAAAACAGGGGACCTGAATATAGTACCCTAAATAGTAGGATCCCTATTATAAGGACCCCAAAATAAGGTACCCCTAATTTTCGGAAACTCCCACCAGATGCAGAAGCCCAATGCCAGGGCTTGAGCCACCTCGTCCACTCCCGCAGAAGGCACGAAAGCATGGATCCACCCACACAGAGCCAACACCCAGCAGTTGTACAGCATCAGATAGTCCCGGTGGCTACTGGTTCTCGATGAGTCACCTAGGTGGAAGATGGTAACTGCCAAAGCAACCAGAGACCGGGAGAGTGCCACCACCACTGGCAAGAGAAGGAGCCACTTCTCCACGACAAACGCTTGCAAAAACATGTAGGGAACGATGCTGTACGCTGCCGGCCGATAGATGCTTGAACGAAGTAGCATCAAAAACCAGCTTTTTGGCATCCAAGACGGTCGCAATGCTGTGTTGGATAGCTTCTCACCGAGTCGAAGAAAGTCCACACCACTGCCAACAAACACTGCGATCCAAAGGAGCAACAGAGTTGCAGCCTGCGCAAGGACTCCCATATCCCTTATAGCTCGAAGTCCTCTGCTACGGATGAAAAGCCCCACCCAAAATCTGACCCCCTGCACCACGAACTCCAAATGCCAAACCCCAAGCCCAAAGCCCTACACCCCAAAAATCAAATTTCTGGCAAAGGCCCTGCAGCCCAACGCTGAGGGTTTAAGGGGCCTAGGGTGTAGGGTTCAGGGCTTAAGACTTGGAGTCTAACACGGTTTAGGGTTTAGGAGCACAGCAGGCCCCAAGAAGTAAGATTCGAAGTTCAAGCCTTAATCTTTAGGCTTAGGGCTTTAAGGGGCGGGGTCTGGGGTTGGGGTCTCGAGTTGAAAGACCACGGGCCAGGGCTCAGAATTTTACACCCAAGGTGTAGGGTTCGAAACCCTAAACCCCAAAACTCCAATCCCTAAACCCGCCCTAGGGTTTAGGGGTTTAGGGTTTGGAGTTTAGGGTTTAGGGTTTAGGGGTTTGGGGTCTAGAGTACATCGAAGCCTGACTGATAGGCAAGATCCGCGTGTGGGGGGGAGGGGGGGGAGGGAGGGCTTCTATCTTCGAAACATCTTAGGGGGCAACGTAAGCAAGACTAAAATTCTTAGTAATCAGACCCCTTGAGTGAAAAAAACCCTACCCTAAACCCTAAACCCTAAACCCTTTTTCTGCGTTGCAGCTTCAGCCTGCAATGCATAGAACGTAGCAGCTGGGGACATGGACATAGCGCCCGGTACAGGAAAAATCCCCTGATGCATGGCTCTCTAGGGTTTAGGGTTTAGGGTTTAGGGTTTAGGGTTTAGGGTTTAGGGTCTCTGAACTTTGCCTGAGCCCTGAAGCCTAAGACCCAAAGCCCTACACCCCTGAAGCCCTAAACCCTCAACCCTAAACCCTGAAGCACTTTTCCCTAAACCTTAAACCCTGAAGCCCTAAAGCCCTGCAAAACTCAAACCCCAAAACTCCCCAATACACCCAGCAAGAGAGACCCAACAGAGTGAGATTGTCGCTGTGTTTGGGCCAAGGCATTCAAAGGGAAATCGTTCGGTAAGCTTACGGGCTTCTTTACAGTAGTGCTCCGGGTTTTGGAACCCCAAACCCTAAACACCAAACCCTAAACCCTTAAACCCTAAGCCCTAAACCCTAAACCCTAAACCCTAAACCCCTAAACCCTAAACCCTAAACCTTTAAACCCTTAAGCCCTAAACCCTAAACAGTTCAGGGTTGAGGTACGTCGGAGCTTCGGTTTGGAGTGCTTGGTGTTCAAGGCGATATACTCCAGGTTTAGGGGTTTAGGGTTTAGGGTTCAGGGTTTAGGGTTTAGGGTTTAGGGGTTCAGGGTTCAGGGTTTAGGGTTTAGGTTTTAGGGTTTAGGGTTTAGGGCTTAGGGAAAAAACAATGTAGGGGCCTTGATAGTTAGAATAGGGTTCTGGGGCCCATTATACTATAGATAAATGCAGTGTGTTTAGTTTTACACTCCTAGAGTTTTGTAGCTAGGGTTTGGGTTAAACCCCTGAACTAGGCCCTCAAACAGAATAGACGTGACGATCAGTAGCTGCAAAAAGCCACCAAAGGCGGTATAACAGAAGCAACAGCGGTCGCGGTATCGAAGCAATAACAGCTACCGCGAAGCACAATATTATTAATGCGACCAACATCTGGGTTGAATACAGCAAGACACAAGACTAAGCGTAGTGCGAATTGCCTTTCTCCTGAAGGACCCCCTGAATTTGTACGTGCACAAATCTAGACACGCCACACACATACTTGCGTACTTACATGCGTACATGCAATGTTACATACCTACATACATACATACTTACTTAAATGCTTACATACTCGCACACAGTCCTTGAAATCAAGAGCTCTGCTTGCCAACCAGGTAAAACACAACTTGTATGAGGACAAAACGATATTGCTATCTACATAAACTACACATGTACACGGACAGAGACATGTTCATACACCTCTACACACGTAGGCATACATGCACAGGTCAATACCCATCTACCTATCTATCTATCGATCTGACGATATGTCGATCTATGAATCTATCTATCCATCCATCCATCCATCCATCCATCGATGGATCTATCTGCCCATCTACCTACCTACCTAACTACCTACCTACCTACCTACCTAGATATCTATCTATCTATCTATGTACATATATGCAATCATATGCATATTTATCAGCATCTAGGTCTACATCTGCATCTACACATACACATACATGCCAGTGTACCAATACGCATACACATGCATATGCATGTGCATACCCAAGGGTTCATGTATGCATGTGTGTATATATATATATATATGGATATATATGTACATGTATATATGTGTGTGTGTACACGTATGAATACATACAAATACATACATACTTACCGACCTACCTACCTACCTACCTACCTACCTACCTACCTACCTACCCTACCTACGTACCTACATGCATACATGTTTACAGTGTATATACATATGTATATATATATATGTATATTTATATGTGTATATATATGCGAATATATGTACATATATACAAATGTGTATGTACATATATGCACATGTACACATATATGTATACATACATACACCTACACACACACACATACCGTTATATTGAGTTACTTGCATACATACAAAAACATACATACATACATACATACATACATACATACATACATACATACATACCTACCTACGTACGTACATACGTACGTACGTACGTACGTACGTACGTACGTGCGATACACATGTATACATATGTATACATGCTTGAATCAGCAAGTCCTCCTCCGTGATATTGAAGGAGAGCATGAGGCCCTCGTGGTAAGTCTCGTCCTTCGAAGACCCTAAACCCTAAACCCCAGACCCCTAAACCCCCGAATCCTAAAACCCCTAAAACCCTTAAACCCCTGAACCCTTAAACCCTAAACACTAAACCCCTAAACCCTAAACCCTTAAACCCTAAACCCCTCAACCCTAAACCCCTAATGTCGTGGGTGGTTTGATTAGGATCTCGGGAGGTTCAGGCTTCAGGAGTCAGCGTGTAGGCTGCAAGGCTTCGGCTCAGGGTTTAGGATTTAGCAGTTAGGGTTTAGGGTGTAGGATTTAGGGTTAGGCTTTAGGGGATTTAGGGTTTAGGGCTCAGGGTTTAGGCTTCAGGGTCGAGGATGTAGGGTCTAAGGTCTGGGGTGGTGTTCGGGAGTCTCTACAAGGTCTTGGGAAAATTCCAGATACTCGCGCTGGGTGTTTCTGTTTCTGTGTTTGACGGTATCATTGGAGTTCTTGTACAACCTTCATTGGATTTCATGACATGCTAAACGCTAAACCCTAAACCCTAAACTTCAATATCTTCGACAATTTTTGCCTTGCTGCGAGGATGGTAGGAGCCAGATCCACAAAAAGCTCCGCCCTAGACCCTAAACCCTAAACCCTAACCCTTAAACCCTAAACCGAAAGGTTTCTGCAGACCCTCAAACCCGACACCCTCTACCACCTGAACACCTGAAGGCCTGAAGGTTTAGGGTTTAGGGTTTAGGGTTTAGGCTTTAGGGCAGGAGCTAAAGCTTACAGGGTTTGGAGCAGGGTTTTAGGGGGTTTCGGGGCTCTCAGCCTAGGTTTTGGATGCTTGGAATGCAGAGGCTGGGCTGTGACGCCGTGGTTTAGGCTGTTAAAACGCTGGATGATTAGCAGCTCGCCGGTTTCGGATCTCGGCAGTGGTTCAGGCCTTAGGGTTTAGGGTGGCAGAGTTTGGGGTTTGGGGCTTAGAGTTTTAGGCTTTTAGGTTTAGGGCTGAGGGTTGGATTCAAGCGTCAGACGGCAGTTCAAACATCCGGAGTCTTCGATCACATTGGTGAAGCCACGCTGTTCGTTGCATGTTCTTCAGACCAAAAATCCTGACCCGTAAGGACTCTACTACAGAACCCTGATGCCCTGAATCTTCAGCCCTAAAATTACTTCCGTTGCATCATCATGCGCCAAACAATCCCTAGCTAAGCAAAAGTGGAACTTTCGCCGGAATCCTGAACAAGAGGGCGCCGTGATGAATGGAGTTTGGGCGCCGTATGCATGCTGGGGTTTAGGGTTTAGGGTTTAGGGTGTAGGGATGTGTAGGGTTTAAGGAAATGCTTCCCTAAATGTAAAGCCGTGACAAATCAGCCCCCAACAGCCTGACGCACGGGCCTGAACCATTGATCGTCGTATTTCTGTGCAGCCAAAACCTAAGAAGGGACCAATAACCTAATCATCGCACAGAAACCCCTCAACCTCAGCCCAATTGTTCAGGCATCTACCCTAGACCCTATACGAAAGCCGAGAAAATCCGAGGGTCATCCGTGTTGACAATGACATCGCAGGGATAGGTGAGGCTGGCGATGAGGCCCCACGACTGGCGGTTTAGGGTATTTAGGGTTTAGGGTTTAGGGTTTAGGGGTTTAGGGGTTTAGGGTTTAGGGTTTAGGGTTTAGGGTATGGGTACTTCTCTAAATTGGGGGTCCCTTTTTCTGTCCCTGCCATGGTACAGCATCGTTATAAAAAGAAGGACGCTACAGTAGAAGGGACCCTAATTTAGAGAACCATGTGAAGTAGCATCCTCTTGCTTTCTTCATGCGGCTGTATCCTGGGTCTTTGGCATGTATAGAAGGGCTAGGACATTTTGTATGACATAAGGTCTATGTTGAAGTTGCGATGCGTGTACAATATTGACCCAATGAAGCACTGAACCCTAATACTGGGTCTAAATGCTTACCCATACTATTTGGGGGGCTCCTTATTACGCAGGCTTCCGCAGAGTTTGGAGGATCAGGGCTCAGGGTTAGGGTTTAGAGTTCAGGGCTTAGGGTTTAGGGTTTAGGGTTTAGTGTGTACCTACCTAAACCCTGAACCCAATACCCAAACCCGGAACCCTAAAGCCCAACCCGGAAACCCTGGAAACCCTAAACCCTAAACCCTAAACCCTAAACCCTAAACCCTAAACCCTAAACCCTAAACCCTAAACCCTAAACCCAATGACAAACGTGCGTCTATGACCCATTTTCGAGTCGCCGGTTTAGGGTTTAGGGTTTAGGGTTTAGGGTTTAGGGTTTAGGGTTTAGGGTTTAGGGTTTAGGGTTTAGGGTTTCGGACTATAGGTACCCAGGCTGTACGAGGGCTTTGGGCTTGAACAAGGCGAAAGATTTAGGGCCTGAGGTGTGGGGCTGAGTGTTTAGGGTTTAGGGTTTAGGTACAGCGACCTCTCAACAACCTATTGTGGACTCTGGAAGCCTGCACACAACTTACAGAAGCCATTCAAAAAAGTACGTCTTCGAACTCACAGCACCTAAACTTGAGTCCTTGAAAAGCCCAGTGGGCTGTTGCAAATCAGTCAGTCTTCAGAGTACAATCTCAAAGTCCAAAGGCCTAAACCCTAAACCCTAAACCCAAAACCCTAAAGCCTCAGCCTTTCTCCTGCTTCCTTGTCTTCTTCTTCACTTTTTTCCGCAGAGGCTGGGGCTGCCCCTTGGAACCAGGCAAGGTTGCCCTCCGTGCACTCCATCCATAGAGTCTGTGGGTTTAGGGTTTAGGGGTTTAGGGGTTTAGGGGCTTAGGGGTTTAGGGGTTAGGGGTTTAGGGCTTTGGGTTTAGGGTTTAGGGTTTATGCCCTTCAACAACATCTTCAAGTCATGCCCCCGGCAACAAACTTCAAGCTTTTCGGGAAACAACCCCATGTGTTTCGAAGTCGCTCTCTGAGCCTTCTGCTTCCTGCTTGCAGGGTCGG